AAAAAAAAGGCGTAAGAGACTTGTTAAAACCTTCTGTACTCGAACAAATGATTTAGCTTTTCGCGCCACTCCTTTATTCGTTCAAGCCGATAACAATCTCTCTTGTTTTCTTTCAATGAATCCGTCAGGTTGTCATTCTAAATTCTAACCATTATTATATCGTGATTAAGACTTCAATTAATAACCTGGAAAGGTAAAAGAGCTTGACAAGGGGACAAAAACAGTACAGCCACCGTATCACTTTCACTTCCGTTTTACAGAATTCGTTCCAGCAAACACGTAATTGATTTAAACTGAAAACCTGAGTTTTTCGACGACAAACATTGCTGGGTTGACGTCTTGGTTTTCTACCACGTCGTTTTCTTTTTTTTTCAACAAGTTTCTTCGTTCTAGAGGAAGTAATGTGAGAGAAAACCTTAGGCTAATGAATTATGAAGGGTACGGAAGAATATTATTATTTAAATGCTTTGAAGAGATTTTCAAAAGAGAAAAACATTTTAGTAATGAGCGAAAATTAACAAACTTAGACTCCTTCACCACAACGTTCCCACTATCATCGAACGAAAACTAAAATTTCTTTGTTGGATAAGTTTGGAATATTTACAAAAACTTCTTGAAAAACCAATTTCGTCAGCACGCTTTAGAGGATGAAATTTTTAACGGAAAATTACCGCTGTGCAGGTGACTTACATCCGAAAAAGAGCTAGAAGCAACAAGTATTGATAAATCGACATCAGTAATTGCGCTTGGATCTAAATCCGTTACTAAATCCTCAAGTACGTCGGGCTCCAGATTTGCCTCATCGGCGATCACTGTTGATTTGTGCATCTAGAAACGCAAAGACCAGTATTTTTGCAGTGTTAAGACTGAACTATGGGGATAGTTTTGATTGCTGGGCTGACCATCTTCCTCTGTTAGCAGATAAAATATCTTCTAAAAAAACGGTACTGAAAAAAAGAAAAAAGAAAAAACCAACAACCGCGGAAGAAGCCCCTCCAGGAACTTTGGAGGCGGCATTTTAATGATTTAAAAAGTTATTGTATTGTGACCGCAGCGTATCGTACTCACTCAGTGGCCTGAGGTATAATGCAGGATTACATTGTTGAAATTTACAACCGTGAATTTGGATGTGGCATCCGTTTTAAAGTGTTGTTCTACGAACATCTTGGGTTGTCGCAAACTCGCAGTGGACAGCGTTGCTTACCAATTTTGTTCAGCCCTTACTTGAAATTAAGAATGGAATTTTTTCCTCGTTACCGGCTACCGGCATCGTGATCTAGAAGTTTTGATGAGTGCCAAAATTTGGGCGATTATTCTGTGGTCGTATTGACTAAAGGCGTCAGAAATACTCAGTTATGATCTTTAAATCTTTAACTCGAATTTTTTTCCTTTCACAGCTTGAGTACTTTCAGTTTTTTTCCTTTTTATACCTCCATCACTTTTTGTTAAATACCGTGTCTGTTTTAGCTATTAGTCGTAGGTCAGTTCTGAAAGTCGTACTCTTGTTAAGGCGCTATATAAATCGTGTTTTACTTTCCTTGGCGTTGTTTTTCGTATTCAGTTGTTGGACCGATAAGGTACAACTTGTTTTAGCTCTTGAGCTATGAACATTTTGTGGGGCGTTCTAACCATCTTTTACTCACTTAGTCTTCGCTCTGTTGTTCTCGCTCTTTCTAGTTGTCCTAATGGTCTGAACAGCAACTGTATATGTGCTGAAGAAGGCAATGGTTTCTCGTTTGAATGTAACGGTGTTAACACTAACTTTAATGAACTCTTATCGCCGCTTGAGAAGATTCGTATTGAAAGGTTTACTGTTCTAGGAGCTTATTGGCCGGTTTGTATTTTATCGTTGTAATTCTTACATATTTTTTGAAGCTAAATAGAAATTCGAGCTCACATTAACGTATGATTATGTTTTCGTAATGCTTTTTTTTTTCTTTTGTGTCATTAGATACCAGTTTCTCCCTTTGAAATCAGCATGTTTTTTTAGCTTTTGAAGCGCCTTCCGAAATTGCATATTCGTGCTATCCAGCTTGTGAACTGTGGCATTGAAGATATTGAGGAAGGTGCTTTTGAAACAGTCGCTGATGGTTTACAAGAATTGGTGCTTACAAATAATTCTTTTAAGTCAATCCCTAACGTTGGGCGTCTACCAAAATTACTTTCTTTGAATCTCAGATATAATAAGGTATAGGATCATCTTGTTCATAATCAGTAATGAAATATAATTATTTAGAGAATGATTTTTTTTGTTTTCTAGGAAAACCAGTTCTAAGAATGATGGCAGTATTTAACTGCTTTGTGTTAGATAACAGCCTGCCATGAGTGCTAAATTACTGCTGATTCTTATAAGTGTAAGATCAGCAGTTATGGTGTATACTGTAGTGAAGAGTTTATGTATTATTTTGCTGAACAGTGTAGTTTGTGCAAAAAAAACCTTCATTCGTTAATGGACCTTTAGTTTTCTTAAAGTCATTTCTAGTTTTTTCCATAGTGGAAGAAAGGCGATAAGAATGTAGCAAAGTTTGGCAGGAGGACGCAAAAAAGATGTGTTTTGTTCTTAAGATTCACTACTTACTTGATAAACTTTCTAGTTTAAAATGATTTCAGATCAATACTGTTCCAAGCAACAGGCTTAAAAATGTTTCAAACCTGGTACAATTACGCCTTGATGGCAACCAGATTTGCACGTTACCAGAGTTGGTTAATCAAACATAATTTGTTTCATAGGTTTTATAGCCGTTTATTACGTGTAATTAGAGTACCGCTCTTTTAAATTTTTCAGGAGTTTTCTGAAGCCAGTGAGGAGCACTTTGGAACTGCTTGACCTTAGCAGCAACTGTTTAGAAAACGTACTCTCTGCAAATTTGGGGAAGCTTGAACGCCTCTTATACCTTGACTTATCAGAAAACAGACTTAATCGCCTTGATAATTCAGATTTTAAAGACCTTGACCAACTCAAGGTCTTGCGTATTTCCTACTTTGTTAAGATGGAAGGTCAGAGTTTTGTCGCTATGGGATACAGGCTGTTTTTTAGGAACTGCGTGTAAATGATAACCAGCTGAGCGAAGTTGGGAAGTTGACATTCAACAACATCCGCCGTTTGAAACAGTTACACATTCAAAACAATCAGATCACAGACCTTGATACTTCTGAAATTACCGATGGGTTCAGGAAATTGGAATTCCTCGACATTTCAAACAACCGCCTTCTGGAGGTTTCTGCTATATTTCGTTATTGCTGAGAATGAAATTAAGATAAAGATTTAACCAGTCATAACTGTAGGTAAGCTGCAGTCTTAGAATTAACTACAGTTGCTCAAGAAGATAGTAGGTTTCAGGTTCACAATGTTCTCATAAATGTTAATTAATGTGTTTTAGGTTCCAAATTTGAAAGATCTTCCAAATATTGTGCAAGTTAATTTGGATCGTAATGAAATTACACGTACTGTTAGTTACACGTTTAGTGGAAATCACAGGCTCCGTCATCTTAGTGTACAAGTTAGTTATACTTAAAGAAAGATTGTAATTCTTAACAAAATGAGGGAACCTCGGTGGTCTTTGCTTTGTATAGGCCGTTCAAAGGTTGATGATAATATTGCGTCACTAACTTGCAAAACTTTCAGTAGTAGCCTTTTATTTTTTTATGAATCTTTCTTTGCAAGGGGCCCTTCAGTGAGCGATTCTGAGAAAAGAATGAATTTCAGAACAACCACATATCTTCAATGGCTCCTCATACATTCAATCATTTGTATGGGCTTACGCATTTGCTCCTGGCGAGCAATGAAATTAGGTACATTGGTGAGTAATCGTTTGAATAGTACAGCTGCTAGGAACAAGTCATCGACTGTCCATCTTTTGGCGTTGTTTTAGATCGGGATCTCTTTTGCGGGATGGAAAATTTGGAACAGCTGAGTTTACAAAACAATTCTATCAGTGAATTAGAAAACTACACATTCACTGGAATACCCTCGCTAAAGATGCTCGATATATCTTACAATGGGCTTCACAAAATTGCAACCAGCACCTTTAAGCCACTGGGGAGATTGATGTGGCTAGACCTATCTCACAACGTACTGACTTCACTTGAGAAAGGGACTTTTGAGGATCCGATACCTAATATTATTCTTTATGGTGAGGGTTGTTGACGGGTTTTACAAGATTTTGGATATTTTTAGCTATCAAAAACACTTGGGTTCAAGAAACCTTTGATCTTTTTCTCGGTCTATTTTGCATTTTGTCATGCCAACTAGCGGTCGCCGACAATGATTTTTTTTTGCTGGCAGCTCTCGAGAAGTATTTAGGTAACCCTCTCAGGTGTGATAAGAAAATCGAGTGGCTGATTGAATATATAATCATTAACAGAGTACGCACACACCTCCCTTTCCAGTCCGAAGTCCTCTGTGCAGAGCCAGATAATTACAGGACCGTGAGATTGAGAGATTTTCTTACGAAAAAAGCTAATGAAACTTTCAATGCAATGACGTCAGCTTTGAGAGCAGCAGCCGGTATCCCGTCAGACAAAGACTTAATGAGAAGTTTCATACCAACTAGTGTACGTAAGTTTATTCCTGCTTTGGAGCGTGGAGAGAAGAACCAGTATTCGGATGTCCCTGTTATTGGTGCGATAACAAAGGCTCTCCCCGTGTTAAGGAGTGTGCCTGGTTTGAACTATATACCAAAAGCAACTGGAGAAAGAGCGGAAGATGTGCACTCTTTAAATAATGCTATTGAGAAGGTTGGTGGCCTTCCAACATATACTGTAATTTAGATTTACGAAGTACTAGTGGTCGCTAATTTTAGTTTTCGTCGCCACTGATCAAGGTGGCCACAGGGGAGTCGGAGTCGTTGACGGGAATCAATGAGGTATTTAAAGCGCTTCCTGAACTTGCGGCCAATCTCCCGAGCGCGAAAGACTTGGATATAAGCAAGGTTAATGTGGTCACTTTTAAAACGCTTTGAAAAAAACATTTTCTTTTCTTTCGACTTCTTAGGCTTCTTTGACTTAAATTTTCACAGAGACTAACAGTTCTGCCACAATTTATTACAGGTACCACCAAATCTCTTGATTCTGATACTAACTGGTCAGCAAGTACCTGGCGTCAACAAAGAGACAATGGAGAAGTTGTTAAGAAACTATACTGCAAAGATGTATGCAGCAGCAGTAGCTGCAGAAGAAGGACATCCAATGTTGGATGAGAGTCGTTATCTTCCCGAAATAGAAAAGCTTCCAAAGGAGGTGTTAGCAGAAGTGATCAAAGAAGGAAGGCTTCCTTACCTCACCCCTGAACAAATGTCTGCTGTAAAGGTAGCGTTGAACCGGATGTACAAAGTTACTTTTTACCAAAAAGTGCTTTATTTTGCTACATGGGTGTCATTTTAGGGATACTACATCAAAAAAGCGGCAATTGCCATCAGTGATGGGAAGTCCCATATTTTCCCAAAGGATTTGATAAAGCCCCACTTCACATCTATGATCAAAATGTTACCGGCGGGTTATGACATCAGAAAAATCCCGGCAGAAGTATTCACGAGTTTTGTTGAGGGTCGTATTCCAGATATGAGCTCTTTGCCTGGAGACTTACGTGAGTACATTATGAACGGACAGCGAGATCCAGCGGTAATCATTTCATGCGACTTCAAGCATTTAATGGATTAGCATCATACGGGTGTGGCTTAATTCAGGATAATTTTGGAGTAGAAGAGACGCTGAGGATACGGACAACGGCAGTCCCCACTATTCCTAATTCTGAAAGGTACGACATCAATAAGGTCAGTGCGGATCTAATAAAAGTTGAAGAGGAAGCTGCGAGAAAAGAGCGGTTAAGATTCTACTCTTCGATTCTCCTTTGTAAGTAAAATTCCATCTCGCAAATACTGTTCTTTTTTCTTCAACTTTTTTAAAACTTGTAATTGGTTTGATTTTTTTGATGAGTCGTGGCATGACAATATAGTCATTATTTTAAGGCGCGGTCGGTGTGCTGTCTACATTTGTGGTGTTCCTCCTATTTTTATACATGCGGAGAAGGAAAGCAATGCTATCCGGTAAGAAACCTGAGAATTTTTACAGTTTTGACGAAGCCCGTCGTCGTCGCCAAGTCCTTATTCACATGCCGCGGCAATGTTTGGAAGCAGGACGGTTGCAGGGCAGTAGGCTGATGGGCAAAAGTCCAGGTGGCTTCAGTCATTACGATGTTAAACCAGTGTTAAGATAATATAGTGACAGATTCAATCTAACTTAGTAAAGGGCGCTGTTATGTTATTGTAACAGTTTCTTAACTGTAAAAAGTTTGATTTTCGAATTGTTGTAAGTTAAATCATTCTTTTATTGTATAGTTTTGGTTTTTATTGCTGTAAGTGTGATGTAAAGTATACTAATTGAACTTGAGTTCTAGATATATGCATTTAACTATGTCTGGGTGTTGTGAATTGCCTGATTAGTGTTGGTTATTGACATAATTATCATAATGTGCGCTACTAATTTTCAGGAATTAGATTTGGTAGCTTTGGAAATGCGCTACCATTCCCTTTCGACTTCTAGTTTGAGTATTTCGTCGTAAAATTTGAGTAGGTTAAGCAGATTGTTACTCACGTTTACCAAACTGTGGAATTTTTTAACGACAAGGGTATGAAAGAAGCTAGTCGCGTGTTTTCTAATCAGAGGACGCCACAGGGGTTTGCGGAAGTGCCTGAAGTAAGGAAGAAGGGTCCTGTACCAGCATGGGAGAAAGCCGTGGTTACGGGTCATTCCTCTAATTTTCTTCAGAGCTGGGCACAGGAGGTTAAAGAATTTGGCCATCCTAAAGGTGTCCGTCTTGGATTGGAAAGTGGAAGACGAGGGG